ACAAATACATAATCACTAATAGTAATACAAATAAACAAACACAACAATCAAGTCAATAACATATAATACAAAACTATAAATACCAACCAAAATAAACAAATACATAATCACTAATAGTAATACAAATAAACAAACACAACAAGTCAATAACATATAATACAAAACTACAAATACCAACCAAAATAAACAAATACATAATCACTAATACACATAAACAAACAAAATAAATCAATAAACTACAAATACCAACTGAAATAAACAAATACATAATCAAATGTTCAACAAAAAACATTCTTAGGGCAGCAAATGTTCATTCCGCAATGGGGGTGATAGAGTCTCTTGATTCCACGGTCCCGGGATTAGTTAATGGCACATCAAGATCATCATCTGAATCATCATTCACATCATCATCTACAAAACAATGATCAACTACAAATATTAATAAATGTAAATAATAAAATATATGAAATATTATGTTAACATGTTACCTGTAAACTCATATCCATATAGCCAAGTCCAAGTGCATATCAAAGATTCTGCATTTTTTGGTCGAAGTGAGCTTCGATATTTGTTGAGCACTTTACTGTTAATACTAAAAGCGGACTCTAAAGCAACGAATGCTATTGGTATTGTCATGATATCACGAGTCATCATGACAAATACCGAATAACGATCACGATTGTTCTTCCAAATATCGAGGATATCCAAATTCTGATATTTGATGCAATCAAACCTCATCTCTTCCAAATAAAGATCTAATTCGGATTTCTTAGTGGAAATGAAATCACTCTCATAGTTGTCAAAATCATGCATCATTTAAATAGTTAAGCGTCAAAAGTTAATATTAAATAATAAACAATGTTTTATTTATCATAAGAATATAAAAACTAAAAAGTATAGTGACTTACAGAAGAATGATCTACACGCCTACCAAGAGTAGGACTACTCGCAAGAGAAACAACTGAAGGTGAGGCAGGAACTTCTTTGGAACATTGAGCCTTGTAAGCTTGAAAAAGCTTTTGCAAGTTATTCTTAACAACCTCTGACTTCCGTGTGGCAATAGTTAAATCATAAACTTTCTTGAAAGCATACTCCACAAATTGAAACTTGAAACGTGGGTCAAGTATAGTTGCAATCGTCAACGCAACACTATAAGAATCCCAATATTTTGTAAATTTTGGGATCATTTGTTCTGCCATGCTCCTAACAACTTCTTCCTCACTCATCCTCTCTTCAATTAAACGCAATTGAAGTTCCCACACACATTTCAGGTACAAGTTTGCTATAGGATATTTAGAACCCAAGAATAAAGTCGTAATATCATAAAATGGTTCCAAGAACTTGCATATCCTCGCCCCCTATCCCATTCGTCATCTGATGGACAAAATTTATAACTGAGATCTATTGTTGATAAAGCCACAAACACAGGACGATGTATTAACACCATTTCAGGCATTAAAAATGTCGAATTCCATCTAGTGGAAACATCCAATCTCAACCTCATTGAGCTTTTCACTCCCATTTGCATAGCAAGTTCTCCAAACTTGATTCTTCTAGCCTCAATTGCTTTTATATATTTCACACTATCTCGAATCTTATTTAAAGCGATACTAGTAGCTTTTAACCCTTCTTGAACAAGAAGATTCAAGATATGTGCAGAACATTGCACATGGAAAAATTCACCCCTACATAACAAAGCATTCTGTACACAAAGTTGATTCCTCAAGATATCCTCCATTCTATCATTACCACTTGCATTATCCAAAGTAATTGAGAAAACTTTCTTTTCAATTTCATAATCTTGCAAAAAATTCATAATATTATCTGCCAAAACAACCCCCGAGTGTGGAGGAGGAATATGGCAAAAGTTCAGTATTTTACTTTGTAACTCCCAATCCTCATCTATATAATGAGTTGTCAAAGAAATATATCCCTCAGTTGTACCAGAAGTCCAAACATCAAAAGTTAAACAAATTCTACTAGTAAACTCCCTAATTCAAGCTTAGTTTTTTTGCTTCATCCTTTCATATATTTTCAAACAATCTTCCTTAGCGGTGTTCCTAAAATAATGTTTAAGCTCCTTACAAACATACAAAAAGACTCTCCTAGTTCCTTGATTCTCCACATATGAATATGAATAATTATGTTGAATAATTGATAAGGCCATATATTCAGGATAAGTCTCTTGACTAATCTTTCTACTTTGCAATCTATGATCATGATCAATCAATAATTGCCCTACATCATGGTTGCCACGTTTTGGACAATCTCCCATATGACACTTCAAATTTTTAGTCCCATGTGTGGCACTACCATATGCATAAGTTTTATTGCATGTCTTACACCTAGCCCTCTCATTCTTATTCTCATCAACATGTGTCTCAAAGTAATTCCAAACTTATGATATTTTACGTTTATCTCTAGAACTAGTTGCAGGAATACTAGAATTAGAAGGAGGTGGCATTACCCTAGAAGCATCGTCACTTGCTCTCACATTAACCATATCCATATCTATAGTTTCAGAATCCGTCATGTCAATGCTTGAGACTACCATATATATATATTANATATGAATATGGATAATTATGTTGAATAATTGATAAGGCCATATAGTCACGATAAGTCTCTTGACTAATCTTTCTACTTTGCAATCTATGATCATGATCAATCAATAATTGCCCTACATCATGGTTGCCACGTTTTGGACAATCTCCCATATGACACCTAGCCCTCTCATTCTTATTCTCATCAACATGTGTCTCAAAGTAATTCCAAACTTATGATGTTTTACGTTTATCTCTAGAACTAGTTGCAGGAATACTAGAATTAGAAGGAGGTGGCATTACCCTAGAAGCATCGTCACTTGCTCTCACGTTAACCATATCCGTTTCTATAGTTTTAGAATCCGCCATGTCAATGCTTGAGACTACCAAAATATATATATATATATTAGATTGATGGGGTGATATTACAATAATATCAATGTAAATATTATATTAAAATAGATTGAAAAATAAATATAACTAAATGTGATTAAATTATATTGACTTATTGTAATTACAATAATAGCAATATAAATATACACTCCATTTTGCAAATACCCATCATTCATTATTCACATTTTGCTACTAAACAAAATCAACAACATTCCTCCAAGGCATTTAAGAAATCAAATGGCAAATCCAATACAAACACTAAGGGCAATTTCTAGTTTGGAGTCGTAATCTAAAAGTCACAATCTGAAAGTGTTTAGTGGTACTGGTGCATACCTATCTAGCCCTTTTATTGATGGGTTGTTTTCATCTTTGTGTAATAAGTCATTGAAGATTTTGGGTTATAAGTTATTGATTTGATAAAGTGTAGGGCATGGCAGTAGATGCTTCCGAATCTGAATCTGCACCCACCTACAATCTTCAATTCAGCGTTTAAATATTGTTCGACTCCTACTGAGCTGAGAAGAGGTCAATGGTCAAAAAATTTGCATTTACATTACCTCCTCTTGTTTAAGTACAACACTTGTTTTTAGACTTTTTCACAAACACCAAACACACATATAGCTATCTCAAAATCAAAACCCCGCGTCATAAAATTTACACAAACATTTTCACAAACACCAAACACACATATAACATTATAAGCCACAGACTTAAAAAATTAAATATAAAAAAAACACACACACACTTTCCCTTATTGTTTTAATATGTATTAAATATGTTAAAAATTAAATCTCTAACTTGATTGAAGGAAGAAACATGTTTATAGGGCTATTATAAACATGTTAAAAACTCACCGATCTATAATGGTGGTGTGAGAGAAAAGATGTTGACGGCGACGGTGACGACGACAACGACGATGTGAGACAGTGAGAGAGGAGAGTTGCGAGTCTTGCGACGGAGAGAGAGAGGAGATGGCGACTTGGCGAGTGGCGATTGTGGTCTGTGACTTGTGAGAGAGAGAAGACGGCAAGTTGCGACGACGTGAGAGAAAGGAGATGGCGAGTGGTGACTGTGGTATGTGAGAGAGAGGAGTTCAAAAATGGCGACGGTGGGACTGGAATAAGAAATTGAGAATGAGATGAGAGTTAAGAGTTCAGAGAATGAAAGTTTAGAGTCGAATTGTTTTAGTTAGGGATTTCAATTTTCAAATCCCTTTTTATTTTAAACAATAAAAGGGTATCCGCGAGCACCCGCAGGTTTACCCGTATAACCCGTTGATAATACGGGTCGGGGTACAGGTCCAATACATTAGACCCGTACCCTATATTTTTTAATCGGGTATGGGTCAACCCCCACGGGTCTAGAGCCGTTTTTCCAGGTCTAATGTCAGCATATAAAAAAGTTTGAAATTTAACAAAAACACTCGTAAAATTACACATAAGTCCCTACAGGTTTAAAATCTTGTAAAAACACCCTTAATTACACCATCGACATCGACATTGACAACTTAGGCCAAATAGGGCCTTTTTCTAGTGTCAACAACACACCCCATCACCACGAAAACTCTTCCCTCAACCTCCTGACCAAAACCTATCTCATCTCACCCTTGTTCGCCTTGCTAATCGACAGCAACAGCAGGCTGTTGCCACTAATTTATTTTTGCGATTTCCAATCGTTTCACTCATCGAAAATCATCTCCGTCACCACCTTTCCACTCACCAGTCCTTCCTCTTAGAAACCCTTAACATTTTAGCATTCAATTGTTCATTAATCATTGTCCAAATTTCTAGGGTTTTCAATAAATAGTAAATTTGGTAACACGACCCGATAAAGGCCTCAAGTGCAAATTCAACTGGTCAAGCTAGGCTGGGTTTTAAAACACTGGGTAACACTTTCAAATGGCATGAGAGTAATGACTTGAATGATAAGAAAGTTATCAATTCATATACATTATTGTCAATCGCTATTTGTATTGTGATATTGTTTAACAAGTTTGTTTTGATTTAATTGATCCAGTTATTCCCTCCTAGCTAGTGAATAGCTAAGATGTAAACTTACAGTGCGAAGCATAGAGTCTAAACAAATTGTGCATTAACATCAAGGTTTTGTCCCCAAAAAAAAAAAAGAAAATAAGTTTCACAAGTGCCATTGAAAACAAGATCATTTTTACCACCAACAACCTCCAACATGCTCCACAAATGCCAAAAAAAAATAAAATTTAATACAGAAGTGTAGCTTGTATATCAGTGGAGAGAACCAGTTTCATGGTAAATGACAGGAACCCCAGAAATATATTATTAGCATACCGATGAAGAGAATTGAATCATACAACACAAGCTCTATTGTGGGAATTCCATACACTGGATGATGTCACCTAGCTCAGATTCTTGCAGCCTCCTTTCCATCCTGCTGAAGCATATATTCTCTTTTCATTTCTTCCAAGACAGCGTCATTAGTGCTGCAAAAACAAACCATGTCAGATACCTGAATTTTCAGACTCAATTTTTCAATCTAAGTTTAGTCTTTGAGATGATTATTATGTCTTCACTCTTACTTGAACTTATATAATCTGCCGTTGTCAAGATTAAGCCTGCCAAAACATTATCTCCTATCTTGGGACTCCATTTTTGTCAAATAAGGTTATATATGTGATAAAATTTCAACACCACAACTCAAACCACATCCTGAACACAACAGTTACAGCCAGTCATAAACGTGACATCCTTTTTTTCCATTTTTTTCATTCATCTGCTTTGTAGTTCAAATGCAGGAACACAATAAAGGCCGTTGTTCTTTCAATCAATTCTCCCTTAGTCTTTTGGACCATTGATAAGACATGATACTTATTGTTCAGAAACATAAGAGTTGAGCTATACATGAATAAAGATAGGACTTTTGATGTCTCCACAAAAACAAATGTTTGCTAGAAACGACAATTTTCAGGTCATCAACAGGTCCAAAGTGTATTAAATTATTGATATTTATATTGATTAAGTGCAAAACAAATGCTTGAATCAGTGAAGAAATTTCCAACAAGTTCAATAGGTACCATTGAAAATTGCAAGAGATGCAGTAATGAAGAAACAAATGATCTAAAATTGACAATAAAGTGATGATCAATGGAAATGAATTGTCCAGAAGTATAAATGTTTGTAGACTGGAACCAATTCCGTCCATATTCATATTTTCCTTATCATCTCTAGGCACATCTAATCATGTTGATGAATAATGATATATTCTAAAGCAAAACCAACTCTGGAAAAAAGTGCATTAACATTCCAAATAAAAGCCCTCAGATATTTAATAAAACATAACATGTATATAGGCAAAATAAGAGGGAGGAGGGGTTGCAAAACATTTTGCAATTCATGCTATAGGACCTGATGGTACAACAGTGAACAGCCACGGAAGCTATGAATAGATCAAATATTTGGTTAGATGTTTTATAATCATCATATAACAGATAAAAATGGGGACCTGTATCGGACACATTTCAAGATCCAGGACTGAAACCTCCAATCATGGATTTACATTTCTATTTTATGTTTTAAAAAAAAAAAAAAATTACTAAGGAAATTATCCAAATGAAATCTATCAAAATCTGAAGCTACTGTCAGCACAAAGTTGACTCAAATGATTCTTAATCTTTAACCTTTGATCATATTTTCATAAACACATTTCCTTTACAAATCACAGGCTGATCACAGAAACATTGCCAGATGGAACACTAAAACTCTCTGAGTGACATGGACAAGAGTGTTAAATTTCAGTCTTGCGGGCAGTCACTCAATGCAAAAATGCTAATAAAAATGTCAACAACCATTTGACATTTCTAAAAATATAAAATAAAATAAAATAAACAATGCTCACCCGAGATAGCAAAATGAAATCTGCATGTAGTGCTCATACTGGGGAAAGGTAAGAATAGAAAGCATTTTCAAGTACAAATGCTTCCCCTTTGAAGGTTTTACGAAAAGACACTTCTTAGAAAAATGCCGATCAAGCCATTTAAATCAGACTTTAGATACTTTTTTAATAAAGCATTTCAAATATTTTTTCATCATCTAAGTAATTTCCTTGTCTATTTCAAATCAAACACTACAATTGATGTATAATTCATAAATGCACTTTCAGCTCCCAAATACATCCTTACTCAGTTCTCTAATACTAATTCTATTAGCAGAATCATAAAGCTACATCCTAATATCATCCAAACACATTTTAAACAATAAATAAAGAAAGAAAAACATGTTTCTCCGACAGAATAAACTTACTATTGATGAAGGCAATTGTTTAACTCTTTAGCTTGTTTGCGACACTGCCACACAATCGAAAGTGTTTTTCCAGCAGCACATTCAGCATACTTGGACGTGTAACGATCACATTCTTTTAACGCCTTTTGCTTCATTTTACTCCGCAAAGCTACCATTTTTTTTTTTTTTTTTTTTTTAATTAAAACATTATTGCAATTTCAAAACAAAAACATAAACTTTGCGCAATCAAACAAGGGTTTAATTTACATATAGTACCTTCTTCTACTTTCTTCTTCACGTGATTCTCTCGTGCTTCCTGAACGTATCCCATTTGACGGAGCTTCTCTGGTAAAATGATGTTCGTTCCTTGCTTGGATTGTAACAGCTGCGAGTCTTTGAGGAGGAAGAAGATATGAAGGTTAATTTACTTATTGGGCTTCTGAAAATGTAGTTGGGCCCTAAGACCCAGTTTAATGACCCAAGAGAAAATGGACTAAGCCCAACAATCTAGGCCCAGTTTAGTGACCCAAGGAGAAATGGATTAAGCCCAACAATCTTAGGCCCAGTTTCAGGAGTAGACAAACAAAACGGTTCCATTTTATAGTTGAACTGAACCGTACCGTCCCGTACAAGAAAAAATTGTACCTTACTGTGTAATCTTACAGGAAAGAAAAGCAATTGTCTTAATGATCTTTTCAGTTTTAAACCAATGAAATGAATGTCTAGGTTCTACTCATTACTTTTTCTTATAATTGACCACATTCTCCCAATTAGATCATTTAAGTTTTCTAGCTTGTGTTGTGGTTCCCCCACCCACTCATTGAACTTTTTTTTTCAATGTTCAATTTTGCCTGATAAGCTATATATTTACTGTAACTTTGCATATTGAAATGCCAGTTGTATAATTTGATCAAGGTTAGGATAATGATAAACAAAACTTTCTGAAATCCGGCCATAGCCTGCAATTGTCTTTATGAGATATTGTTATGGCATCCTAGAACTAATAATGTTGACCACCAGTGAAATAAATGCAGGCTTTTTACTCCAACGCAGAACAGAGAGAGGCAATGGTTGCAGCTGAAAGAGTCAGGTTGATGAAAGAGTCAAAAAGATTATGAACTGAAAAATAAGGTACTGACTTCGAAATGATTTTTTTTTTTTTTTTTTTTTTTGTTGGAAAGTGTATGTGATATCGTTACGACAGATATTTGGCTCTATTGAAAAATTGTCTTCTAATTGATCATATGCAGGTTTGTTCAGATAATGACAACTTTGTTGTTATCAATCAAAAGGGTATGATCCCCATCATTAGACCTTCTTGCTAGAGCAGGGGTAAGTTATGAGCTGCTAATAATGTCCTAGGTCAATGGCTTTACTTGCAAATGACAATTTATTATTTAGTGGTTTTTTCCATTCCTTTATTTTGTTTGCAATTTTCTAATTTTATGATTGTGCAGATAATTGCCCTTAGAGAGCAAAGAGAAGAAATATGGAGCGATTGGTGTTGGCATGTGGAGGAGAAGCTGTAAATTCTGTTGATGATTTAACCTGTTGTCTGGTTGGGCTGGACTCGTATATGAGCATGTCCTTGGTGAAGAGAAGTATACATTTGTAGAACAAGTGGAAATCCTCATTCTTGTACAATTTTAATTAAAGGTACTAGAAATGTATTTGTAAAACTAACTTTCTACTAATTTTTAAAGTTTCATTTTTATTCTCAAATCAGCTAAATGATTAACTAATCAATATTTCTGATATCATTTGCATCATTTTATTTCCTTTTACGGCTATCATATCATCATTTTTATTTTAAATGTTGTAGGACCTAACGACCATACAATTGCTCAAATTAAGGATGCTGTGCGTGATGGGTTGAGAGCAGTAAAAAATACCATTGAAGATGAAGCCGTTGTATTGGTAAGTTATGCTCAGTTGGTATTCTCTCAGAAATCTTATTAGTTGATTATGCCTTGAAATTGTGTCTATGATGGAGTATTGCTTTCGTCTGTTCAATTTGCTTTTAAACAGTTTGCTTAGATGATAGGTTTTGTTATATATTCCTAATATTTTATCAGATGAAAGTTGACTCATTAACTAGGTAAAGTTGAGGGACATAGCTGGCAGTTTGAGGGACGCACTTTCAGCCAAATTAATTGCTTTGTTCAACTGATTACTCTTATTGACTGTTTAAGAAAAAGACTCTTAACGCATGTTTATTTAATCTGGTCAAAAATGTGGATTGCCTTGCTGCCCATAGGCTTTAGCTCAAATGGTGAAAGAGTGGGGTGGTGGCAGTGGGACATATTTAGGTGTTTATTACAAATTTTCCCTTTGAAAAAATTATTCCTTGTTATTTGTGTACTTTTTTTTTTTTTTTGTTTTTGATGGTGAGGTATGTTCCCAATTGTGTTCAGGGGGCAGGAGCGTTTGAAGTTGCAGCCAGACATACCTAGTCAATGAAGTGAAAAAAACTGTTCAAGGGGTATATTTTGTTAAATCTCCCTCCTATAAGATTTAGTACAACAATGCATCTTTTGAATATTGTTAAGTCTACCAACTTGGAACAGCGTGCTCAATTGGGTGTTGAGCTTTTGCTGGCTCTTCTTGTTGTGCCTAAGACACTTGCTGAGAATGCTGGGCTTGACACTCAAGATGTGATCATTGCCCTCAGGTATGCATACATCTTTGCTCTATGTTCTGGTTTTCTCTTTTACGATATTAAGAGGAAAAAATATAGATTAATAGTGTTCTATTTCATCTTGATGTTTATTCAGGCGGAGCATGACAGAGGGAATGTTGTGGGATTAAACCAGCACTCAGGAGACCTTTTGACCCCCAGATGGAGGGCATCTTTGACAACTACTCTGTGAAGCGTCAAATAATAAACTCCGGGTATGCGAGAATGTGTTTACCATCACTCCCACTTGTGGGCTGTCTTTTCTAAGTTTTTTTTCGAGAAAGTGAGCCACAATAGTATTACTGCTTCGGTGCATGGATTTTGTGGTTGAGAGCAAAACTTGTACTCTATTTGCAGGCTGTAATTGCATCTCAGTTGCTATTGGTGGATGAAGTAATTCGTGCTGGTCGAAATATGCGGAAGCCAACTTAGCTTGTTGATGTACTTAAGCATATAATTTTTGTCATATGGAGGTTCTCTATTACTGTTGGCTGTGGTACTATGGGTAGCCATGAATGATGGAATGTGAAAGAGGGTGGTTTTGTTTTGACAATTGTGAACCCAGGCGCCCATCAAAAACTTATTGAGAGAATCCCCATTTCTGTGTTCAGCTCATGAATGAAACTAATTTTGTGCTATGTAGTGATTTAGCCAATTTTTCCACAATCTTGTTTTATTTTTTCATCTTGCAGTTAAATTCAGGTGTCTAGTAGTCTAGTAATTATATCTTGTATTTCCTTATATACTGCAGCATGCAAAAAATGGTATGTGGAAAATAGATGTGTTTTATGTCTTTGAAGTGCTGAAGATTCTTTTTCTTTGGAAAGTGCCCTTGATCAGTTTGCATTTGCAATTTTATAATTCCAAAGAAGTAATATTACAATTAATATCTTACTAATTTTTTCTACAATTCTGATGTAGTAGTTTATAATTGATCAATTTGCAAATGTGTTCCCCTGCTTGCTATGGGTTTTGCCTTTTGCCTTTTCAATTATAAGCTCTCATATTGGAGTTGTAAGAAAAAATTTATAAGATTGGGGTTGTAAGTCAATCTTATCCAATTTAGAATGAGTATATTTAGGGTTGGAAATGGTTGAATCTGGGAACTGATGGGAAAGTAGGCATGGCAATGTTCCCCGAGATTTTGGGACCGTTTCGCCCTGCCCCTTATGGGGCGGGAAGCCCGATTTTTTGTGGGATGGGGCGGTGGGGGGGGTGTTTTAATCTCCGTCCTCGGGGATGGGGCGGGAGTGGGTGATGCCTTCCCCCCCAGCCCCGTATAATATATCAAATTAAAAAAATGTATATATATATTACTTCACTAATATCCCTAAATTAATTATACAATTATCTGTCTATATAAACCCATATTTTCTAATTTCCTCACCCTAAACAATTGAACAAGAACAAATTTGACCTATATTTATGTATAATTAATTATGTTTAAACGATTAATTAAGTGTTTGTCATGTGAACGAGAATTAACTATTGTGTTTGGTAATGCTCAAATTAATTATGTTTATATAAAATTAACGGGGCGGGGACGGGCCTTCAACATTCCCTTTGGGGCAGGGAAGGGGAATTCCTGGCATCCCCGTAACGGGGATGGGGCGGGGGTGAGGATGATTTTGAGGGTGGGGATGGGTACGGTGAATAAGATCCCCGCCCGCCCCGCCCATTGCCATGCCTAAAGCACTTTGAGATTGCTTTAAACGTTGTTTACTACCTTTCTCGGGAAACCAATATTGATTTCATGGTTACGGGCAAAAATCTTTGAAGGGGAGGTTACACTATGGCATGCGATGAGAGTTCTGAGTCTACTGACTTTGATGATAAGAAAGTAAATCAATTCATACATTATTGTCAATCTCTTCATATACATTAATTGATCTAATTATTCCCTCTAGCTAGCATTGTTTTAAACTTGGACTGTACCAGTTGATCAGAGTAGGACTAGATCGGTTGGTTGGACTAGGACCAGACTGATCGGACCAGATCTGATAGTCTCTCTGATCTGGTTTAAGTTTAAGGTTTTTTTGATATTTTTCAAAGTTATAGGGAGTACTTGTAATTTTTTGGGGGATTTTTGAAATATTTCAAAATTTTAGGAACTAATTTGTAATCTAGGACATTTTTTAAATAAATTAATTTTCAGAGCCAAATTTGCAATTTTGTCGGAGTGTTTTGTAATATACTAAAATTTAAGGAAATATTTGTGAATTTTCAAAATATTTTTATTGCTGACATCATCGGTCCAACCCGTTGGACCGGTCAACCGGGACCGAATACCTTAACGGGTCTCACAACGAGTCAGGTTTAAAACAATGCTAACTAGTGAATAGTTAAGATGTCAACTTACAGTGCAAAGTATAGGGTCTAAACAAATTGTGTATAAACATCAAGGTATTGTCCCAAAAAAAGAAAAATAGTATCACAAGTGCCATTGAAAAGAAGATCATTTTTACCACAACATGCTCACAAAAGCCAAAAAAGTTAATACATAAATGTAGTGATACCAGTGGAGACCAAACCAGTTTCATGGTAAATGACAGGAACCCCAGATATCTTATTAGCATACCAATGAAGAGAATTGAATCATACAGCACAAGCTCTATTGTGGAAATTCCATAATGGTATTGGTTATGTTCTTTTGTCTAAGCATATATTTTATTCTTTTTGTTGCAATTTTACTGTTTCCAGTATGGCTTGTTAGTTTGTTTATGCTAGTTGATGTTTGTGCAGGATATTGCT